CCCCGGGGCCGCGCTCTGCCCGGGGGCCCGGCGCCCCTGCGCCCCTGCGCGCGCCTCCCCTGGCCGTGCGCCCGGAGCGCGGGACTGCCCTGCGGAGCCCTGGCCTCCCGCCCCTCGCGCTGGGTACCCCGCTCCCTGCGAGGGAGTGGGTAGTTTCTTTCCGTTTACTCACACCCGGGGATCTGTGCGTACCTGCCCCTTCGGGTGGGGGCGGGAGAGCTGCCAAAGTTGGAAGCCGAAAAAAGCCGGTCCTGGGCGTTTGAGCATGCCCAGCGCCGGCAGCCGCGCAGGGTTCCAAATGTAAAGCCCTGTAGGCTGGCGTGCAGGGCCGTGGGAAACACGGGGACCCGGGAAGGGGACGGAGCTCTGGTGAAACCAGAGATGGGGACCATGGAAAACGCGAAAGTTGAGGGAGGGCACTGGTGGGGGGGACCAGGATCAATTTTCTTCCTTCCTTCTGTGTCCCTTTTCTGTCTTCTAGCCTTTCCTCTTTTGCATCATTCTCACGCTTTTTTTCGCAAGCAGAACACATTTCGAAGGTTTTCCTCATAACCCCACAAAGAATCAAGTGGTAAATCTTAAAATGACAAGAGCAATGAAACACACCGGCACCACTAGTCTCCACACCGTAACAGACCTCTGTGGCTGCGTGTAAGCTGTCATACCAGGGTTTGAGATAGTGTTTATGACCGTGATAGTGTCGGTGCCACTGGGCATGTCATTCCTTTTTGCAGGCCTTACATGCTTCATCCCTAAAAGGAGGAGTTGATCTACGAAGCTATGGCTCTATCCTTCCGGCTCTAACCGGTCTGGGAGAAGAAAAGTCCTGGGGCCTGTGGAGCCATTTCAGCGCTGAGTGAATGAGCAGAGGTGAAAGGTCTGGTCCAGGGAGTGAGGAACCTGCGGCCCTGGGGCCACATATATGGCGTTCCAGATTATAGAGTGTGGCCTTTTGACCGAATCCAAGTTTTAGGTTCTGGTCTCTCTGTGAATTGCACTACACCTTCCCCTACAGCCACTACAGGAAATGGTGACTGATTAGAAGATGGGAATAGTAGTAACAGAAAAACGTCTTCTTGGACGATTAAATGTAGGAAATTGGTCTTTGGTTTTCATGTGGAAGTCTTATTTAACTGAGCTTGAGTTTTTTGAAGGTGTGGCTGAGCTGATGATATAGGCAGAGTCACTTCAGAGCTGATGACATAAGCAGAGTCACTTAGACCAGGCCTGAGAGCCCGCAGAGATTGTCAATTCCCACCTTAACTGGCATGCCCTTTCCTGTTCTACAACAGCCAAGTTTGTAGTACTCAGGAGATGGAATTTCAAGACCTGACTCAACCTTTCCTACAACCTTTTGTAATATGACAATGAAAAGAAACCATCTTTGAATTTACTTAATCATCTTCTGCCCTCTTTGTAATTCTTGACACTCTAATTGTTAATTTATATCAGCAACTCTGAAATTAACAAAAATCAAATTTGAATTCAGTGTTTTTTTGTGTGTTTTAGCCATTTTGGATTGTCTTGTCAATCTTTCCTATTAAGTTCAGGCGAAATAGAGTGTTGGACCAACAATGCTTTTAGCAAAAAAAGGAAGCCATCATGGCTGAGTAGTACTGCTGGAAATGACCACAAAACTTGTGTTTTGGTAAAAGGAAAGTATAACAATTATATACATTACCACTCATTTGAAAAGATTGTGAAGTAGATGAAGAGTTAAAATGTAATACATACAAAAAGGAAGACCTACAAATTAGCTTTAGATGAAGCAAAACTTACAAGGGTGCGCAGAGTAATGAAGTGATCAGTATGGGGGAGATTCTAAGAGAGGAAAATTAAAAAAAAAAACTTGGGAAGGAAGTGATAACAGGATATTGGTGGGGGAGTTTCAGGGAGTATATATTAGTCAGATTAGGCTGTCAGAACAAACACCACAGACTGGCTTACACAAAGGGAATGTATTTCTCACCGTTCTGGAGGCAGGTAAGTCTAAAAATAAAGTGCCAGCTGATTTAGCTCCCCAGTGTGGTCTCTCTTCTTGACTCACAGATGGTCACTTTCTTATTGTGTCCTGACATGACAGAGAGACAGAGACAATGATAGAGAGATAATGTTCTCCTCTCTTTTTCTCCCCTCATAAGGTCACTAATTCCATTATAAGGGCCCTATCTCAGGACCTCATCTAAACTGAATTATCTCCCTAAAGCCCTCCCTGCAAACATTATCAGGTTGGGGACTAGGACGTCAAAATACGAATTTGGGGGTGAGCACAAATATTGAAGCCATGATAAGGTATGCGTATATATAGAAGAATAACCAGTTAAAGGATTAATATGCAAAGTGTATGTAGGATAAAGCAATTGTTTTATAATTGAGACATAATTTGGCTGTGAGGAATGATAGGATGTGTGGGACCAAGTTGGAAAACTTAAATCTTAAGCTTTAAAAGTTAAGGTGAAGAGTTGGACTTGATGCAATGGAGAAGAAGTTTCCCTTTCATTCTCCTGAGTTGGGTAATAGATATTACTAATAACATTAATTTTAAAAATTCTCTTACCACCATATATAAAACAATTGAGTTACCAGAAAGTGGATTATGTTAGTAATCCAGTTATGAGCTGGTAAGAGTTACTCAAACTAATAACTTATGTAATTATGATGTTGCACGATATGATTCAACAACCTTGTCAAGGAGTTGGAGCAGATATGATGAACTCATCTATTTTATACAAAGAAAAAAGTTGAAATTACAGAGGCTAAAGCACTCTATTTCGGAGTATTGTGTTCCCAGTGTCATATTTTTTTTTATTTGTCTTAACAGGTTTATTGAGATAAAAAAATCACACACTATAGAATTTATCTACTGAAAGTATACAATTCAGTGGCTTTTAGCATATTCACCATTGATTGTGCATCCATGACCACAATCAATTGTAGAACATTTGTATTTCCCCACAGAGAAACCCTGTATTCCTTAACCATTCTTCCCAGTCCTTCATCTCCCCTGCCCCCCACCCCCACCCCCCAATCCTAGACAACCACTAATCCAGTGTTTGTGTTTTTCAACCTTTTGTAATCTCAGGGCACACTTAAATTATGTTGATCAAGAAAAAGTATAAAAAAGAGAATATCCTTACTGTTCTTTGCACTTCTTTCAAAAATAATTTAATTAATGATCTTATAAAATGTTGGCAGCCTACTAAAATCCTCTCACAGCACACCAGTTGAAAGATCACTGCATTAATCTAATTTCTGTATCCTTAGATTTATCCATATATAATCCATATATAATGACACATAGTCTTTTGTGTGTGGTTTCTTTCTCTTAACTTAAAGTTTTCAATATTCATCCATACTGCAGGGTGTGCCGGTATTTCGTTTCTTCTTGTTGCTGAATCATACTAAGTATTATGTGTTAAAAGAGTTAGAGATGTGTTAAGAGACAGATTAGAACACATTCCGCTGGGAATGTCAGGTTTCAAAGTCACTCCAAAGTATGTCATAAGGAATAATTGAAGAAACTGGGGATATGAAATGGAGGAATGATAAGATACAAAGTGACGTGATAGCTTTTTCCGAAGGAGTGAAGATATATCATAAATCAAGGGGAGCAGCCCTTTTCTGTTTGGCTTCAAGGTGATACTGAAAGAAAGCTACTGCAAACAAAATTTTATCTCTCTATAAAGAAAAATGGTGCGCAATTTCCTCAATAGGAAATAGGTAACCCCAGAAACTCATTCATGACTAAGATGTAAAAATATAGACTAAATTATCTCATTTTGAACACAATCTAGGACTAGATGAACTTTTAAGAGCCCTTTTTCTGTGTATTGAATGTGTCACCCAAGTTCACGTGTTGAAAACTTAGTCCTCAAAGAAACGGTGCTGAGACCTGGGACCCTTAAGAGCTGATTATAAGGGCTCTGCTCTCATGAATAGGTTAATGTCCTTGTCTTGGAAGGGGAGAGAGTTCCTGATAAAGGATGAATTCAGCTTCCTT